ACATTGACCAATTAAATAAACAAATTGGGGGAGTGGGATTAAACTTTACGTATGATTATTTACATGTTTACTTTTGTGATGAAAGATTGTGTACCAAGAATGTGGGAGTTGCATAGATTGCATAGACAACAGGCTTTTCAGTCAGTGACTGATATGTTTTTAGTTTGCACAGATGAGAGCTGACACGAGACGTGGAATAAAGGCATTTTGATTGATTTAGAATTGTCATATTAGAATATAGATGGGTCGTGTCGTGATGGGGACTCAAAGGCTTCTCTCTCTCAAAAGTATCTAATAGTACAGTACACACTGGCATGAAGTTAAGTGGTGGAGAGAGGGGAATAGGATCGGGAAAGGTCCTTGAGTCAGAATTCAAACTTAGGTCACTCAAAGTGCAACCGCACTACATGTCTGAGCACTGCCCGGCTCTGAGCTATCAGGCAGAAAAGTTACTGGCAGGCATGTGTCAGAATCCAGATCAGTCCATAGATCAGTCCATGGGCAACCAAATCCCAAACATTAGGTGAGAATCAAGGTCAGACAGGGAGAGAGATCAAACGAGGGGCAGACAGCACCAACAAGGGAATCAGAAGGTCATCAACATAAGAGCAGTCCAAAACTGGTGGGTTCTAAAGGGAAACAGGTTACTGCAACACAAACTGGGCAAAAGAGAAATATGTGAGCAAAAGAAAAAAAACAGTTAAAGAAGAAAAGTTCAACACTGAATTCACAGACTGGACCACTGCATGTTACTTCTAAAAGTGCTTAATCAAAAATGTCTGTTTTATTTTTTTAGATGTTGAACCAGGAAACCATGCTGTCTAGCTGTTCAAATTAGAAACAACTTTTGGAGAGTTTGGCCAAAAATGTCATAGTGAAACAAATAGAAGATGGAAATGAAGTTGACTGATTCTAATATCTCTCTTTTCATGCAGAGGAGATCTCTAAGCACAAAGGTCCCCCAGTGTTCACCCAAGCTGAGAGATATAAGATGGTGCGAGCAATCAAGTGGGTGGATGAGATCGTGGAAGGAGCTCCATACGTTACTACGCTTGAGACTCTGGACAAATATTGTTGCGATTTCTGTGTTCATGGAGGTCAGAGCCTAAACATAATAACCATGTCTAAACTGTGCTAAAACATTGATATTAAAAAGTAAGTAAAAATATGAGACCCCCAGGGCCATGAAGCTTTGGATTACCGGATTGACCGGATTACATACATACTACACACATTCATACTAAAAAGAACATAAATTTTTAGCTCTTACAAAGTAAGTACTTACAGTACAGTAAGGTACAGCTAATAAAGTGGTAGCACTTTATTAGCTGTACCTTACCTATTCTTCATGATGAGACAGTGCTCCTGTGCACAAATTGAAGTCCATATAAAAAATGTCAACAATCTGTTCATGTTCATCTGTTCGTGTGTCCTGCATCTAAGTAAAAGCAAAGCTGAATGGTTCCAGAGCATCACTACTCTCCTCTGGAAATATAGTTTTCAGTAAATTGTTCAGTAACTTGTTTGGTCTTGGTAGACCAACTACATGCACAGTATTTTAGGCACAGTAACACACCACTTCACAGTAGTTCACTTATGCAAGCTTTATTATGACCTGAATCAACTGGTCGTGTCTCCTCAGATGACATCACTCTCACTGTGGATGGGAAAGACACATATGAAGAAGTGAAGAAGTCGGGCAGGTACAGGTAAGCCCATTCACACCTCTGCTGCTCATGCTACTAATGTTTAGTATAGTTCTCATTTAAAGTGGATCTTTTTCAGAGAGTGCAAGAGAACCCAAGGTGTGTCCACTACAGACCTGGTCGGCCGCATGCTGCTTATGACCAAAGCTCATCACAGCAACATGGTGAGGCCCGAAACATACTCAACATTTATAAATGCAGACAGGTCCCACTAGGCAAGCTTGATTTAAAAAATGTCAGACCTCGGTTCATAATTCAAGTACATGTTGCTGGGTTGCAACACCCAGCTTTGTGGAAACATTTCCCATCATATTGTTGTTCATTTTTGTTTTTTCACTATTTGTTATAATGGTATAGCATATTCACCCTTTCACTTATTTATGCTAGTTTGCTTGTCACTTTGGTACCATGTTTACACCATTGTCACCTCCACCTTACTGTATGTCTTTAACTCTCTCACTGATATTGTATTGGAACTGATCATAAAAAGTATTTGTTCAAAAATCTGTTCAGGTTTTAAAAAATACCTAGAATACTGATGTTCATCATGACACAGAAATGCAAAAATGCACATTAAGTATGTACACGCTTGCAATACACCGGCCAAGCATTCACATCTGCTTTTACATACTTGTGTAGAGTATGTTTCTGCGATGTCTCTGGTACTGTATGCTATAATTACACAGTCAAATTGGACATTAATTTCTTCCTTTCCTCTTCAGGGCAGTTCAGACTATCAACAACACACAGACAACTTTGGAAGAGTGAGTGTTTTATTCCCTTTTGGTTGTTCTTGTAGTCTTAATCTTTTTTTTGAAGAGTGAAATGTTTTGAAGTACACTACAG